AGGAAGGAAGGAAGGAAAGGATCTTGTGACTAATTTAAATGCCATTTATTTCAATAGGATTTCGGCATGACAATTTGAAGGATAAGTTTTCTAACTGATGTTCTTTCTACCACTCTATCCATTTGCGCTAACTTCCACAAATAGATGGCAATAGCAAACTCAGTAAGCTTGTGCATAGTGTCTATTCAGAAATTGCTTAAGGAACAAAGCAACTAAAATCACCTCTCTTTTTATTGCAAAATGTATCTTTCTACCAAAAAAAGAATATTTTGCATAACACAAGCACTGCTAAATTGAAAACATTTGAATCAATTAATTGAATCCAAAATACAATATATGTAATTTTTCATTCCCCTCCCCCATTTCCTCTACACTTGACCTGTGGCATCTGCACAGATAAAGATACCTCTTAAACCTCATTTTGTGGAATGATGTAACAATGATGGAAATGTATCTCTTGATGACATACCTTTATGTGAAAATTTAGCAAAACTGTAATACATATATGGCATGCTTTAGGACACAATCTAAACAAAATCAAGCATTTTATCCCAAATGATTTTAATGGCAGGGTTAACATATTCTTAACTTTCCTTCCTTTAAAATTAATGAGACTTCAAGGACTTGGCTTTAATGGAAGCATGCTCTCTATGAAATGAAATGAAATGAAATACCAGATAACTACCAGGTAAGCCACAATGGTGGGAGAGAGCATAGGACACTACACTGCATATTTCTGCACACGCTGCACTGCATATTCACCCTTTTCATTACCAACAGAGGCTGCTGTTGGGTTTTGAAAATCCCCAAGCTATATCCCCACTGTTAGGTAGTGGGTTAGCACTCTACTCTTTCTTGACATCCTGGGCTGTGATAGATTCATTATGCACCTCTGCAGCAAAACACCACAAAACAGAGAATTATGGTTCAACTGGGTCAGTGAGCCCTTTTCGCCACCCTGTGCTGTAGAAAGCAAGCAACAATTGATCTACCACAGCAAAGCATGATAGGATAAGAAGAGTCAGTCCAGTTGTCTTGGCAACAGACATGTGCTCTCATCATTCCATTTAGAAAGAGGAGAAAATGTTTAGCTTCCTCTGATGTCACCATCGTCATGCAACCAATTATGATTGCTTATATGGTGCTTTGGCATTCTTGTGCTTCCTCTGTGCTTTCTATCTGGCAAGCAGTACTTGAGAAAGATGGATGAAAAGGCAGAAAAGGGATGGGAGAGAGGGAAATCAAGGCAGGAACAAATGGGGAAACTTGAGTTATGAACTATTATGAACAGAGGGTCACTATGAGAACCTAAAATGCCATCTTACACTTCAAATATTTCAGTGGTGAAAATTTGATACTGCTGTATCTCAGACCATAGGACATCATGACTATATTACCCTAACCACACAGATCAAGTTTTAGTGAGAAAGATCCACAGTGTCGGAAATAGTTATATTATTATACTGAAGTATGTAAAGTCTGGAGACGAACAGCAAGTACAAGTATACAGAGGTACACTATGAGCAACTATTTGTAAAAGTGATTTATCAGTTACAGATTTCTCTCTGACAGCAAACCCCATACCCCTGCTCAAAATTTCATCTGGTTTAATCTGCCCATATTGCTAAAGAAAGCTGAAACACAATACAGTTGTTTTTTTAAAAAAGTGCAAGCACTAACTAATATGCCCTGGGCTAAACCTCTATTACACAGGGATCTAAAAAACAGCAAAAACTGTTTATTTAGGTATCTACTATATTTATTAACTGCTTTTCCAAATAACTGCTTCTTGACTGAAGCAATGTACAATTTATATAAAATATAAACAAATTACACATAAAGCAATAAAGAACAGTTTTTAAAAATCTGCTGAAGAGTAAGAAAAATGAACACTGCTAGCGCCAAGAAATCCCAGTCTCAGCATGTGTTACAGTTAGGCGAATGGCAGGGCATTTTCTCTCATGGATGAACCTGGCACCCACTCATGGATGAACCTGGCACCTACACTGGCTAGCTGTGATATGTTTATTATATAATATTTTTTTTAACAGCAATTTTAAAAGTTAGGCACTGAATGGATTTGTGCCAGCTGGGTAGCAGCAGGGCCACCAGTCTCCTTTCCTCCAAAAGCCATATTTCAGAAGCACTGGACAGAAAGGAGAACCGGGTGGGGGGGACACATCACACATGCCCCACATCCATCAGGTGGTTGAAGTGGGGATCAGGGCGAGGGTCTCTGACCTATTTCCCCCTTTGAAAAGCTGGGCAAAGGAGGATTTGGGAGAAAGGTAAGGATGGCCACTGTAACCACCTGGCCTGGTACTCTTCACTCAATGGAAAAAAAAAACAACACCTAACTTTAAAGGAACGAAAAAGGCAGAACAAGGCCTATCAATACGCTTGCCAGGGCTATGTGAAAGCTCACAGGGCATCTCTGGGCTTTCCCAGAGAGAACAACCCTAGTGTTGGATCTGTTCTCAGATACTGTCCAATAACTGGTGAAACACAGGCTTTCTAACCACATGAGCGAAAGTTAACCAAAATGAGGCATAGTGGGAATGTTTGAGGGGTAACAACTGCAGGGGCAGAACCATCACAGAACATATCTTCCTCCAAAGATCATTCTTCTTTCTCTCAGATAAGACTGCCATGTTCCAAACCCATGTTCTACAACCCATACCTGCCAAGTCTCTTTACTTTAAGGTGTATTTTGTTCAGCAAAAAAATAAAAATAATTTTTAAAAAAACTTGTTCCCTTGGACAATAATGACAAATCACAGTACATTCCAGTCAAGGTCTAAAATACCTGAAATATCATTAATGCAATGCAGTTTTGTTTTACATGGGTTACATGAAAAGAGATTTCTTCCTTAACAATTTTGAAATAAGCATTGTCCACAGATTAAATTGCCAAAATGTATATGTACTAAGACTTACGACATACAAGCTGAAATGGTGTTGCTTAGTGTAATGTCACATTATAGTGGGCCTACCGAATCAGTAGAGATTCAGTGACTTAACTCCTCCATAGGTCTAAATGGGTTTACTCTAGCTGCAACTTACTTTAGACTTACTACACTAAGCAACAAGATATTAGCCACAGAGTCTACGTACTGCAGTAACTAATGAACTAAGGGAATAATTTTCTGTGGCTTGCTCCTAAAGCTGTTTTAAGTTTGCAGAACTGCAGAAAAAAAATGAGCCTTTCAAATGTGTAAATTCTCTCCTAGACCAGCCATATTCTTTTGCCACAACTAGAAAATCTTTTACACTTTCTTCTTTTAGTGGACAATGATGAACCAGCCCATGATTTAACTCCTACTTGTTCCAAGCTTTCAGCCATAACAAAAATAAAGAAGCAAGACATACATCTTCATTAGTATGTATTCTACTTCATATATTCTACCTTCCAGACTTCTGCATTAAATTAACTAGAGAATAATATGCATTGTGTAGCTCTTTTGAAGAGTATATTTGGTAGTTCTCTAATGGAAGCTCCAGCACCTATTTCAGTGACATTATACCCCCTTCACATCACCTCTCCCTCACATGTACAGTGTGAAGGTGGAGGGGGACTACACTGGCTAGCTGTGATATGTTTATTAATGACCATTTCACTTGTATAGTGATGAGTCAGACAGATGCTGAAGGTGAGACAGAGAGACAGGTGGGTAAGTATAAAATCTTAGAATAGCAGCAAGTGCACATTTAGTTCCCAGAATAATGGTCCCACAAAGTTGGGTGGGATATGAATGTTCAGAATGAATGAATGAATGAA